GCAAATACAAAACTAAAGCACAGAAAACTTACTCATGATCGCATTAGAAAGTGGTGGCCGGAGAATGTTTGATGAAGGCGCCGAGAGTGAGAAAGCACGATTTGCAGATGGAGAAGTTAGGGCACAAGGGAGTTCGAGATTGCAAAAGTGAGAAAAAGTCAGAAAATTTGCTAAGTACGGTATTTATACAGAGACATAAGATGAAGGGTTGCTGGAAATAGCCGTTAGATGAGAGCGAGATCCAACGGCTGGGAGAATTAAAGGGGGACACAGATAACGAAGCGGCGCAGATCGCAAGGAGATGTGATGATTAAAGGTACTGGATGGAAAGGACGCGGAAATCATGTTAACAATAAAGGGAAATAAAGAAGGGATAAGACGCATCATAAAATCGGTCAACGTTGGTCGGATGGTCGAAGGAGGAGAAAAAACCCAACCAGAGGGTCGAACAGTCAACAGATAGAAGAGGCAGGCATAAGCTCACTCTTAGATCGAGTCATTCAGACTCGACCAGAGTGGGGGGGGGGGAGGGGGGGGGGGGACTAGATGATATGGGGTATTATATGCCTAAAGAATAGACCAGTTTACCACATTGGTCGGGCGAGCTCGAGGTCGGGAAAACTGTATTGGTCGAGTGATAATCGACCAAAAGGGAAAAGATCGAGCAGAATCGTAGAACTGGCCAAAGATCGACCTAGCGACGAGGGAATCTGTCAGATCGAGCACTCCACAGGTGAAGAGAAGTCGAGAGCGTGGCTTGAACGCGAGAAAGCGCGTGGGCTACATTAGAAGATCTTAACGGGATGCGCGGAGAATAATCTCCTTCTGCTCAGAGGGATACGTGGCGAGAGTACATTGGTGCAGAGCAATAGTGGCGATAACCACCTCTGACACCTCTGACATACGCATATTGTGTGTGTACGGACGGGCAGTGCGGGCAGGACAGCTCACAGGATCCGGGCAACTCCTAGGGCAGGTACCTCACTCATATATATATAGGAGTGAGTATTTTCTTGTGACTTACGATTTATCCATTACATACTTTGGAGAATTGAGTACACTATACACTGACTTAAGCATCGGAGGCTCTTCACCGAAACACCCCTCCGGTGTGAGAGCTCTGTGCAGGTACGCGGCGTTCTACCGGCGAGGAGGAGGAAAGCAAGCCGATTTCAAGCTGGTCGGAGTGTTTTGCGTTAGCAAAGGAAATCTTACTCGGCGCGGGTTCGGGCGTCGGCCTGTTGCTGGCATGCTATACCCGCTGCCCAGCATGGTAAGCCTGACGGGCGTATGCCTTCGTTTGCCTTCTTGATGGAATGGGATCTCCTCGACTTGTGTTGACGCACCGAGGCGGATAAGCTGGCTTGTCCCCTTCATGGCTGGGGGATCGATTTTTCTTCCTTCCTCTTGACGTGCCGGCCTCGTCTTGGTGTGCCAGGTGGAAAGTCAGAATCTCTTGGTTGCCGCCCTTTGGTGGCCTCTTCCTTCGATGATGGATATCATAGTCATCATCGCTGTCGGGGCCATCCTTGAATCGGGCCCTCTTCTTTTTTGTCATTGAAGTGTGTGAACTTCTTCATCTGCGGGTCGTCTATCTGTTTCAGAAGTTTCGGCACTGATCGGTATTGTGTCCGTGCCTCTTGTGATAGATGCATTATCGCGATTTGTCAAGTCGGCTTTGGCCGGCCTTCATCGGTTTTGGGTCTTGGATCAATACCTTGGATTTAATCTCCTCGTAGACCGCCGCTATTCCCACCGAAAAACGCCCTGATAGCCCTCTTTGGGCTCCTCGGCCTTCTGTTTCCTTAGAGCTAGTACTTCGGTCATATTCTTGGTCGATTTCCCCGACTTCTCCTCCTTGGCCTTCCCCTTGGACGGCGCTGCTTCAAACGTCGGGTTTGACATGGATTCCTCTGCCTTGATGTAGTCCTGAGCCCGAGCTAGGAACTCCTGGTAGTTGCTCGGCTTATTCTGGCATAAAGACCATTTAAACAGCATCTTCGGTCTCAAGCCGGCCTACACGGATACTAGTAATGTTTCCGGGTGACATTGTTCCATGTTTTGTACCCGGTCATTGAACTGAGACATGTAGTCCTTCAGGCTCTCCTCGTCCCCCTGAACAATGTTTGTGATTGATTCTTTTGGGGCCAGGTTTATCTGCGACAAGATGAAGTGTGATCAGAACGTTGACTTGAGCTGCCCCTATTACGAGATGAAATGAAGGTACAATGAGTGGTACACCTCTGTGCTTTTTCCCCTAGCGTCAGGGAGAATATCCTGCATCGAAGGGCATCCGTGGGGCCGTGCAGATCCATTCACGAAGTGTACATGCCTATGTGGGAGTCCGGGTCTGAACTCCCTTCATAAAGTCTGAGCTGCGGGACTTTGATCTTTTTGGGCACAACCTCCTGGAGAATGTTAGGAGAAAGAGAGGAAGCATGCTCCACTATCCTCGTGTTTGACCGTAGTGGAAGGAGATGAGACGGTTCCCATTGTGACATGGGTCGAGCCTCCAGCTCGACAATTCTCCATTTGAAGGCAGCTACTTTGTCAACGTTGCACCCAATGGTTTTCCCACGCTCGATGACCTCCCTTAGATCACTATGTTTGCCAAACGTTGATAAACGGATTTACGGGAGTTCTTGTTTGGTGCTGACCGACTTTCACTGGTCTGTTCGGTGAGTGCCGGATCGGTACCCTGCTCCTTGCGGCATTGGGCTTCGTGATTTGGGGACTGAGTCGTAGTTTTGGACTGGACAGGCCCCTTCCCTTTTCCCCCAACGTCCTTCTCAAGAGTTTTGAGCAAAGTGTTGCCCAGGTTTTTTGTTGCGGCCGCGGTTGCCGCCCCAGCAGCGTGGCTAGCTAATACTTTCGCAAAGGCTCCCTCAAGGACTTTGAGGACGTCTAGATGCTGCATCGCTGCTGCGAGGGTCGGGATCAGCGGAACCAGGGCTTGAGGCCCTGCTTGACGCTGACGTGATGTTTCTTCGTCTTCGCGGCGACGAGAGTGATCCCCTGATTGGTGAGTGGCCACGTTGTGTCCGGATGAAGTCATTTTCGGTAAGTTTCAAATGAAAAGAGATGAGAAAAAGATGAAATTGAGAGTGGTGTTCCACAAAGTCGAAAAATTGACACCAAGCAAATTATGGTGCCCTCCTTCTAGCGCCAAATTGTTGATGGTCGGGTCCGATCAACGGTTAAATAAAGATTTAGTGTTGATAAGAGTAAAGATTAGGAAAGATATACTAGGAAATTGAGCTTATTTGTATTTATTGCGAGTTCGGTCTCTGATGACGAGGTCGACACTTTCGTTACACTTAGGATTATTGTCGGGAATTTATTATAGAGGAGGAGTAATTGTAGAGAGAGAAAGTAGTTGGTGGGAGATTCAACAACCTATAATAAATGAAGTGGGTTGCCTATTTATAGAATCCTTAAACTCGGCGCTGTTCATACATTGTTCCTTCTGTCCAGTCGCACAGTATCTTTGATGGACAGGTCGACGCCGCTCTGACAGACATTAAATGCGATTTGAGGTATGTTCAATGATTACCTGTCAGGCATTAAATGCCCCCATGTGGGGGTATTTAATCCTGACTCCTACCGGGCTAGGTACCCTAGGGTGGCAGGCTAGGATGACGCGTCCCGTCGGCAATCATTAGCTGACAAGTGGCAATATTTATTAGTTCCTGGTCCTGCATCAATAAGAGCCTATCTCGTGGGGTCTTTAGGCCGGAATTTCATCAACATTTCACCCCCTGATCTCTGGGATTCCGTTTTTCTGTTCGGCGTCCATTTGAGGTCGGCCTCGTCACTAAACTGTCATAATGCCGACCTTTGTGGTCGTGTAGTTCATTATCCTCGCCAGCTTTGTCTCCAGGTCTGCTCGGCATTTCTAGACTATTCGGGCACCGACCCGGATTTTGGGATCGTCCTCTCTCGGATCGTCTTTGAACCGCGAACCTCTAGGCGACCAAACTCGGATATCAACAATTTAAAAGCTAATAACTTTTTTATTTCAATTTCTATATATAATATATCAAATTAATCATGGTTTAATAATTTGATTTGACATATGTTTTGTAAAAAAATTATTTAAATTCATTTAACTACAAATTAGTTATATGATATAAGTTAAAAAGTTATTATAATAAGTGACGGGTGTCATATTAAATATAAATAAAATATATTAAAAATATATATATAATTTTTTTAAATTTTAATTTTAAATATAAATTTTTTAATAAGCATCCGTGTAATACGCGGATTCTGTATTAGTTACATTTTAATCATACCTTCCCAACCAAACAAATTAATAATTTCATTTTATGGATATGAGTTGATCCAAATGCAACCAAACAACAGAATGTAATGATAAAACACGGTAGACCCTTTTTTACTTGACCCAGCAATGACATTATCAAGCCATATTTTTATGTTATTATAACCACACACTTTTAGTTAACATTACGCAACATTGCACAAGCATTTTACACAATATCTATCCCCCTGATTTTTGGAGACCACATAATCATTCGAAATCTTCACTTTGATGGTGAAAAACAGCACTGTACTTCCAGGAGTTAAAGAACAATACAGCACAAAATGATATATGCAATGTTGGCATGTTTTATAAGAAATGGTGAAGAAATATTAGTTTGTTATTAGTATTATCTACTATTGTTATCAATATTAACAATTATTCTGGATTAAATTATGCTGCTCATAGTGAAAACTCAACATGGTAGTCCAGTAAACTACATATAAACATTGTATCATTCGACAAGAAATTTTGCAGCAATCCCCCCCAAAAAAAAGGTCGAAAATCCTATGTTCATAGTATTTGCTAACAAAATTTAACAGCATTGAAAAAGAAAAATCAGAAAAAAAAATTAGGGACAAGAATGTCAACTCAAAAGCACAAGACTCAATCAATTTACAAAATTAAACACCGAAAGTATATTTCCAAGACATGTATATTTCCAAGACATGAAGTACCTCCTCCCGAGAATAAGCGAACGAGGCTGGAGTTTCAAAATAGAAAACAATTGACAGAACACTTCCAACTAACAATCGAAGATAAATATATAATAACCTCGTCTCATACTTCATTTGTACGAAAATAGCATATATTGTATTTCACGATATACATTTTCATCAATTTTCAACACTAAATCTTTCATCTCAACTTCAGTTATCAAACTGACTGAAGCTCAGTGCAGAAAACAAAACCACGTCCCAATCCAAAGTGTAAAAACTATCACAAAGATGCCGAAGAAAATATAGATTACATGTATGAAAGTCTAGGTTCCAAGTTCTCAACGTTGTTTCATTACCTTTCTTCAAGCGTCATCACCAATGCTACACAACACCTTCTTTTCTATTTTGTTTACTTTTTTACCTTTTCTTTTCCGACTAGAAGTTGGCCTTGCTGACATGACATGATAGTTTCTCTAAAGGATAGTGCACGAACACGGGCCCTGTTTTTCTTTATCCGTCTGGTTCTTACCTGCATTTGCCACAAAGAAAAATATTAACAAATTTATCCAATAATGACACAATTCAACAGATCTCCGTATTTCCCTTTTCCCACTTTCTTATAGTTTTTACAACCAAGAACATAAAATTGATTTCTATATCTCCAATAAATATGGATACCAAAAGTATATACATGATAGCATCCATACCATCTCATGATGAAACAGTTACACTGATACAATCTGAAGTTAAGCAAATGAGAGATTCAACAACAAATTCTGAAGAAATCAACTAGCCGTTATCATGAAAAAAAAAA